TATATATAGCTAGATGATGTTCACCCATACCTTGTGTGGTGAGTCAGTGATATTCAACTCTGTCTGTTGACAAGCCAGTAGCGCATTCCCTCCCATGGCCCTGACATACGCACGCACACAACCATGTGCCTCGGCGATAAACTTGTGCACGAATGCACTGATTCCATTATCCTGCAATGTTTAGTAGAAATTGAAGTTGACCACCAAATTAAGAGAATCGAAAAGAAATGAGAGGCGGACAGGTGCGAAGAAACTGTCTGCAAGTGTAGAATACACTCACACAAGACGCCGAGGCAAATTTCCTAGCCAGTCGTCTTGTCCTTGTTGATTGAAAAAGATGCCCACTTAGTACAATGCATTCAAAGTTTCCAGCAACGACATACCTCTCGTATCGACGTAGACTCTTTGATGAACACGACATTCAGCCGTCCACTGTAGCGTACTATGGACGTGCCTGCTCAGTAAAAGTGTAGCAGATCAGTACAGTAGGAGCACACGGATGTCTCAACGAATTACGCACCCATAGTATCATGCGTGACCCTTGCGAGAGCTCAATAGAAGATCAGAGAAGGCCACGGCCATGGTTACGATGAATCAATATTTGATACACCTCGTTCATTACGTTCGCACATAGTGCACAGCAATATGATATGCAATTGTGCGTCTCCTTGCTTTGGCCTGGGAGAGCATTTTGCAGAAATTAAATCTACATTCAGTGTGTTTCTTCAGGTTGATTGATAATATCTTGATCAAGAAAAATGCCAAGTGGTACGTACATTACACAACGATGGTCTATGTAAATATCTGGACCTAATTATAGGACTTATCGGCTTTACCTGGAATATGATTGAGACCTGATATCTCAACAAAATTGTCCACTTGGCGCTGGTCTAGAGCTGGCATGACGCTCGAGAATGCGTCATTTAATGATATATTGGTCTGCGGCGTGTTCGTCACTATCAGATTGAGGATAAAACATATTGTTTGCAGCGGAAACAACACGCCCTACTAAAAAGGGAAGTACACATGAACCTTCAGATCTGCTCAGAACGAAAGGATCCTTCTTGGAATAGCAGAAAGCTAGATGAAGTCTGAGCCACATAAAGTGTCATGGGATTCAGACCACAGCCGTCAAAGCCTAACCCCTTGCTGCACACTTGTTTTAACAAAATGCCAGATCTGCCCGACTATTCCGAAGAAAACAAATTATGTGAACAAAATTTGTGATAATAAGTTAAAAACAACAACAACAACCACCCGTTAGTAATAAAAAGAGCAGAAACACGTCAGCCATAGGCGAGAAACACTTGCATCAAACATTGCCAGAGGATGCAAGTATAAACCACCATACGCACAGTGCGACCAGAGACGATACGATGAATCAGATGAAATGAAACCAACGAGCAGAGTGTAGGCGAAACGGAATCAACAAAGCCGGAATTGTCTTTGACGGTAGAGCTCGGTAGTGGTATCGATAAAGTGACTCTAGGATAGAAAATCTCTATGGATTGAGTCGCACAGCTTAATGACTTTTTCTACAAGTGTTGCGCATGCCGGATACACACACCCACCCACATACTTATATACATACATACACACACACACACACACACATATATATATATATATATACATATATATATACATATACATATATACACATACATACATACATACATACATACATACACACATACACACACACACACACACACACACACACACACACACACATATATATATATATATATATATATAGTATAACACACTGTAGTTGTTCGTTAGAGTACGTCGTCGGTTCGTCGTGGTCGGTTA